GTAGAAAAAAACAACCTTTTACGACACGCAATGCGTGTCGTAAAACGCTCAGATGACGTGCAAATGCGCCTCAAGGAAGGCCCTGTCATAACGAGAGACGACACACTTTTGCGTGTAGTAACCTTTCGACGCACATTTACGACATGCGTTTACGATGCGCAATGCGTGTCAAGGAAGGCCCTGTCATAAAGAAGATGACACACATTCACATGTCGTAAAACGATCAACATTTACGACTTGCATTGCGTATCATTAAGGCCCATGTCATAAAGAAAGACGAAACACATTTTTGCGTGTCAAAAAGTTTAAATGTTTTAAAATAATTTTCAAATTACATCACACATTTAATGTCTCATAACCTAAAATAAAATTTCATACACAAAAAATAAAATAATTTGCACAAATTATAATATGTCATACAAATAATCATTCAAATGTTAAAGAAAAACAATACATTGCTAACATGGGTTATACCTTCCTATAAAACTAACAACCCTTGGTGAACTTGATCTAGATCGAGGTCGACTTGGATCGATGACGACGATTGGATTTTATATACATGGGTTATACATTCCTCTAATTTTCCATTTTTTGTCAAATATTGGTCCATTCTTCCAATATAGGTGACTTTTATTTTAGAATAGACATCCTAAGTCCCTCTCAATCCATTACATAACTTTTGTAGTCACTTCCTTTAGTTGAGTCTACCCTTGGTCAATCATAATTTTCCAATTTGATGCTTTTGGTCCCTTAACTTTGAAATGTTAACATTTTAATCTTTAACTTTCTAAGATTTATATCAACTAATGATATGGTTACCATTTTAATTAATTAATTATGTAAATTATCCTTTATTCAATTACTTAATTAATTTAAGAATCTTATCTTAAATTTTAGGATGTTACAATTATCTACCCCTTAAAAGGATTCCGTCGTCGGAATCAAATCGCGATCCATCTCAATAATTTTTTTTGTCTCATCACTTTCAAATTTTTGTGATGTCCATGTCATCTTGTCCGTATCTTCACAATTGGTACGCGTTCTAATATTTATTAATTACATCACTAGGGGTTATTAATCTTCTTGGACAAATTTTACCCCTTTGTACCTTTTGGAACCTTTAATAACATCATGCAATAAGGTTATCCAACCTTAAGTTAACACTTGTCTATTTCCTTACTTTGGTCCCAATTTTCCTAAGTATTCCCCTTCATTCATAATAACTTCACCAATATTGCAATCTTTACTAATTCAATTAGTAGATCATTTCTCAGACTTAGCTTCCAAAATTTCTTTTCAAGTTCCCCTTTTTGACTTTCTCTAGTATCAAAATCTTAAACTTAACATAATACATACAAATTGGTTTGAATGCCTAAAAAACATGATTTGCATGGTCTATATAATAACCTCTCATATAGATAATGTGATAGAACATGTTATGGTACACGTACCATTTTATTTCTATCATTATAATTGTAGTTAAACCGTTGTTGGGTTTTATACTTAGAGTTTAATAACTCTTCATGACCTCTCATTTCTATAATTATAATTGTGGTTAAATCGTTGTTGGGTTTTATACTTAGAGTTTAATAACTCTTCATGACCTCTCATTTCTATACTTTATTTAATATAGTTCCTAGTTTCTAATTCATAATATCGACACTTTACCTTGAAGATATGTTTCCATTTCATTCATACTAATGATTTTCTCCTTCAACATTTACAATCTAAGTCTCTATCTGCTTCTCGCCATGTCCATATTCCATTTCATTCAATTTAACTGTTGTGTCAAACCAAAATATCATTTCGTGAATTAATGCATTTCTTTAGTCTACTGGCCTAAGCAAACCATGAAAATAAGATTTGAAGCACATGGAGTTGTTTCAACTCAACTTTCAAAATATTTTTGGGTGTGAATGATTTCATCACTTGTAGCTTGATTATTCCTAGATATCTACCCCTTAAAATAAATAAAGGCATTTCTTTTAAGGTTAAATCACAAGATAATCCTCATCATGTAGTAAGCCGTTTTGTTTATTTCTTCACGGAAATCGTTTCTTCACATTTACTCCTCATGGATCTCGAATTCCACATTTTCCTTTCCCTCACATATAGCTTCAATCTTCATCATCATGTTTCCTTCAACATTGATATTTGATTACGTGGTTCTTCCATGTTGTACTTTCTTAGTTTAACTTCTCAAATATCATCATACTTTACCTATTTTTTACTTCTTCTCTCTTCTTTATGAATACGCATCCAAATATTATATCACTTGATTTCCATATCCTTTTTTTCATAGTCGAGTGACCCATAATGCTATGAGTCAACGGTTTATCTTGTAAACGGATCATCATAAAAAAATCCTGTTATGATAAGTCTTTCGCTCTTTTACTTGTTGACGAACCCATATCAGCAACAATACATAACTCTAGTACTCAATTGTACTTGAGTGTGCCTAGTCCGCATCATCAGGTTGCACAATTTGGCAACTCTAAATCTTGTATCCTTGGCTCGTTTATGACACTCATAATTCCAAGCATCACATGTTGATCTTACTCAACCTAAAGATTGTTGTGAGTTCTTGTTGTCACGACTAGGAAATTTGATGCCTTGTAAACATGGAACAATGATAACAAATGTGAACCAGCAATGTGCAAGCATGTAAGATGTTTATTTCCAATAACAACAAACTTCAATCAAAAACTTCATACAAGTACTGTAAATAGTCAACAAAGAATTGGAAACCCTAGAAATCCCGGTTTAAGTCCATTCTGGACTAGGATTTCCTTATTGGATCCAATGGGCCAATAAGCTTCCAGTTTGACTATCTTGAACCTAGAACTCTCAAATGGGCCCTAATTGGACTGATATACATGAACCATAATACTTTTGGGCCTTATGAGCCCGAAAGACACTAGGTTAACTTAAATAGGCCTTAATGGGTCACAATCAATTTAATTTTGCCCTAATAGGTCATAAAAATCATATCTTTATTAAATTGGGCGAAAAATCACCTAACTTAACCATAAAATGGGCTTAATCATTCAAAGCCCAAAAACTTTCTCTTTCCCTCTCCATTTTCGGCCCAATCCCACAAAGAAGGGAAGAGTTGACTTTGTGGTGCCAACTCATTTTTACCTAATGGATTTCCATGCAAGATCTGATACTTCCATCCAACAATCCCATCACCCTCTCTCTTCTTCCCCTCTCTTCCTCTCAGTCAAACTCAAACCAACACATCCAAACATCACTCAAAAATTCTCTCAAGAAGCTCTCTCCATTTCTCTCCAAATTTTTGAGATCTAAGAGGCTTTCAAAGAGATTTTTCCGTAAAAATCCTTATCCAAGGGAAGTTGATGTATGATCCATGCTTTAACTCACTTGTTTTCATCAAAAATCATTTCTTAATCCATTCAAGTTCATGATCTTGCATCTTAGAACCCAATAAGTTCGAGATCCATCCAAGGAACTTGCTAGGGCCGAAAATAGCACCAAACGTCTCACAATCTTCATCACAAACCGAAAATACAACTCAATGTGAGTTTCATACCCCTTTTTCAGTTTTCATGAGTTTTATGGGGGAGAATACAAGAAAATGTGTAGATCTATGTGTATGTGTATGGTATGTGAGATTTTATGCATGTATGTATGTGATTTCATATGTTTTTGTGATGAATATGTTAACAAAAGGGATGTAAACCTGAGATCTATGGCATGAGAAAGGATAAAAACATAATCTAAGCTATTTTACACCAAACAAGTTAAGAATGATAGCTTATAAGGTTATAATGAACATATTCTAACATAAAACCCATTTTAGGGTTTTAAATTGTCAAAAATACAAAATTTGGGTTACAAATCGATAAGTCAAGGTTTCTTGAGGGTCAAAAGCATCAAAACAGTTTCTATAATCATTTTTCTCAATAATAAAATTTTCAAGGGACTTAAAATGTAAATTTTTAGCTTAATGGGCTAATTATGGGCTTTTCGGCCGCATAAGCCTCAAAATTCGAAAAATGACAAACTTTAAGGGCTGAAATGAAATTTTTGATCAAACAGGGGGTAAATAGCATAACAAAGTCATTTTTGGTTAAAACTATGTTTTCATCAAATAAATGATACAAAAGTGTCAAGAAAATGTTTTAAGGACTAAAAATGAGATTCTTTTATATAAAAGGACCAAAAGTGTTATTTTTATAAAAGATATAACACCTTCCAGATATTGCTCCTTCATCATTGAGCTTTCACACCTTAGTGTCTTATTTCTTCTGTCACCCTCATCATGTTCTCTACAAAAACTTAACTTTTTTTTATCAAAAATCATAGAACTTTTAAGTAGAACTTTCAAAGTTCCTGCCATTAAACTGTTCATCATGGTAATCTAGTACCTTAGATTAAGGTACTCACATACTCGTCAAACAAACTTTCTCAAAATAGCATGAAACCATAACTTCAGTATCTTATACGCAATTTTATCTACGAACTTATCAATCAACTGATACTGAGTAGAGATGAACATCATGTGATTAATAGGAAAATCAAGTTGATTAAAATCAATATTTTCGATCTCAAAACTTCATTTTAAACTTTCCAAATTTATGCATCTTTCCTGAAGAGACTATTTGCTCGATTGTCTCGTAGCACCAATGTTTACTCGGATCACCTTTGTTTCATCCAGGTAGATCACATTGCTTTTGTCTCAGTATGCTATTTTTTTCTCCATTTACTTTTCTACATTTTGCTACTTTTCTTCTTCAAAAATCGCCATCTCAATAATCCTCCATTTGTTACCTTTATTGTCCTTCGAAGGTAGAGGCTTTAAAATTGACTTGGATTCCTCAATAGTTTCTCTAATAACAATTCCTTTGGTTATTGGGGTTGAAGTAGTTGTTGTAGAAGTGGTTGATGAAGAAACAGGAGGTGATGTTGATAATTAAGTTGATATCACCTTCCAAACCACTTTACCTTGATCAGGATCCTTTGAAGAGCCAACCCCGTTATCTCCCCATTGCACTACTTGTTTTACAGGTAGGGCACTCATTGGCATCAGTATAACCAACATAAGTGGAGGAGTAAGTTAAACCATGATATTCGATTAAAGAGAGGAAATCATCTTCGAAATCAAATCCTGAGAGACAACAGAGTGTTGAAACAGATTAAGCTTTAACAAAGACTCTTTTAAACTTCCCAAGAACTCCTCTACCTTTTCAAATACTTTCGAATTTGTTTTTGTATTGGCTACAAGTTTGGTATAAAACAAGGTATGACACTCCACGAGCTTCTTTATGGCATCATCAAGAACATCCACCTTGCCATGAAGACTCGAATAGTTATTGCTCTATCTTTGCCATCACCTTCGACATCTTAGACTTGAGTTATTCTACTTTGATATTGATAGACTCCTCCACCTTCTTAACTTCCTCAACACAAATGACATGACACTCTTTTGCAACCTCTCGAAGCTTTATCACCTAATATTGGAAACTTTCAACATGAAGCTTTAAACGTTCTTCATGTTTCTGTTCAATATACTCCATGGCCATCTTTAAACGATGCTCTTGTGACTTAAGCATTATATCCATCTCAATCCCAAACATAGAATTTCGACCCCATGTATTAGCCTAAATTTGTAATGATGAATTCAGGTTATGATCAAGAAATATAAACTGTTTCCCTAACATAAGCATATGATTAGGAATGTGATATTCTTTCGGGTTAAACTGAATTTATGCAAAGGATATCATCACATCATCATCATCCTTTTCATCTTCAGGAACTGATTTTTCCCCTTCAATGGATTGGGAAGAGAAAAGTGATGTAATTGGTTGATGCATAATGTTTTAGAAAGTAGGTAAAATGGTAGAAGCAGATAATGAAGATGGGATGGGAGAAGATAACGGTGGTAGAGAAGTTGAATTGTCGATGAGGGTAGTTTCGATGGTTGAATAGGGAAAAAGTGTGGTAGGAATAGAAGAGGTTTCAATAGAATATGTACCTTGAGATTTGCTATATGTCATCCCTTCTTCCATATTGACATTTGTGCTTGCATCAGATATGTTCACAATGAAGCGTGAGGTTCGAACATCCTCTGAAAAAGACTGAGTCATCAAAAACTCGGGTGGTATGACTACTGCCTTCTCATCTCAGGGATGGTAATACTTAGATGTTCACCAAAATTAGTGGTTATATCTATATGAGATACGTGTAAAGTTCCACCATGACCTCCAGTCTCCTTGAAGGCCAACTTAACCGAAAAGTCCCTTTGAGGTGTCTTGTAGCCCAATCTAGTATCATGATGAATCAGAGATCTATCGCTACCACTTTCGAAATTAGTTTCAACTACAACCTCATCAAGTGGATCAACTAACTTCTTCTTCTTATTTTTTTTATCTTTCTAACAATGTCACGAGCTTTACGTTTGTTCGATACCAGTGATATTGGAACTTGAACTTCACGAAGATGCACAACCCTTCGATTAAGTTGGGGTTTGAGAATTTTCTTTATCTTCGAAACAAATCCTTCTTTTGGTGAAGACAATGGTTCACCAGAAACGTATTCAATAATTGGTGTTTTAGAAGAGTGTTGGGGACAATGAGCAGGCTTCTTGGTTCGTTTCAAAATATCATCTCCAAAGGAACAACTTCCGTTTATATTCCTTTTTCAACAGTTTCTTGAATTGGTTTTGTTACCTCCTTCTCGATTTATACTGGAACATGTTTAGGTTGTTCAGGTTTCTTTTGTTTCTTGGCAACTTTAACAACCTTCGAGGTACCTTCAGCTCCTTTTGGCAACAAAACCCCTAATTGAACATTTGGGTCATTAGTTGTCAACTAATGAAGAAGATCTGGATGAACGAAATCTACTTTTCATAACATGGCATTTGGGATTCGAGCCACAGTTGGAAATAACATAGGATCATTAGTAAAAAGTTTAGGATGCAGATAGGTTAAAAACTCCACCTTTGTATCTTCGGATGGTAAAAAAATCCCTTCTTTCTCAAATACTTCTCTAAAAATTAAGCTCCAATACCTCACACAAGATGTTTCATTCATGACATTGATATGAGAAATACTTGTTCCAAATGCTTCCCACAACCGAGTTACATAATCAACATTGAGATCATACTAGAGACCTATAATAATGGCCGAGAATTCCAATTTTGCTTTATCGAAACCAGTGCTGCGATCAGGTAAATATCAGAGAAAAATCCCAAACAAGAAATTCTAGATACAAGGAAAAATCAATCTTTCGAAAATGACTGATTCCTATGATTGGGGTTGATGACCCATCTCATATAACATGTGAACATCCTGTGCATTCGTAACATCATAAAACGAACCTGTATTTGTAAGTTTCAAAATTTGAGCAAACTGTTTCTTGGTAAGTCTGTACAATTTTTCATTCGTGAGTTGAAGCATCACAACTTGAGATGGCTTGTTAAACATTGCAGTTGAGCTAGCCAATGATAACCATGTCATGGTGATTGAGAATGAAGAAGATGTAACCATGGAAAGAATAGAATGATTGAGAGCACCAATCATGATCTGTAATCATTCTAGATATATACTTAGAAACATCTAGTTGAACATGGAATTTGGAGCTTTAAATCTTCATTGACGGTTGAGATGTTGCTTCTTCAGTGGTGGTGTTTGAAGGTGCCGCTATGGCTAGGGAGTTTAAGAATTTTGTGGAGAGATGATTATCGTGAAAGAATATTTTGGGAAAATTATACCAAATTGCATAAATTTTGTAATTTAGTCCATAGAAACTCTTTTATAATCAACAGGAAAATTTTGAATTTGAATTGTCCACCAGTGAAACTTTGCCACTTGTTGTCTTAAAAAGTGGGCCAGTTTCCGAAAAAGTCGCCACGTCTAAAAAAGTGATTGTCAATTTTCCATAGAAAATTATGAAAGAGCTAAACTATCCCATCCGTCGATCGTTTCATTTTCCCCAAGGAGATAGGAACTATCACTTGAACTTCGAAATGTCACCATAGAATTCCATCACCAAAAGAACATCAGACCTTCGCTATGAGGTAAGGCTCATTCGCTTTTGGGACAAAAAAAATCATATGCCAGACTTTGTGAAATCTAGGTTTGATTTGATATTACCCAAGACCTCGAGGATTTTAGTGAAAATGTGTGCCAAAGAAATAGTGAGAAGCAAATAAAAAAATTGTGCGTATAGTGATATCAAACAATACTCGATGTAAAAGAAATTGGATCCCGGGCAAAGATCACTTCATTTATGTAACGCTCGGGTTTTCAGGACTAAGCATTTTTGTCAATGTAATAGTCTAGGTCAACTATTGTAACTCTTTTTGAAGTAATAAATATGAAATATTTGAGTATTATGTGAATTATGTGTGTTTATGTGTTTATTATTTAATTATAAATGTATAATTAATAAAGAATAAAAATGAGCGTCAAAATTAAAGTGTGAGATAATCCCGATATCTCTACATAAAGTTGTATAATATGTCTCAAGGTTTCCGTACATATAAAGAATGCCAAAATCCGAGCTATAACGAAGAAGTTATGGCCCGCCGAAGTTTTACGGCAAAACCGGCACGACACCGGGAGACGTAAATAGTGAATTTACGATAGAAGACTTTTTAGCCTTAGCAATCTAAACAAAAGTCGTAGAATACGTTAAACTAAGAACATCGATAAAAAGAACGCCCAAATCTGACTTCGTATGAAGAAGTTATGATTTTTCTAAGATTCGGCTTAGCCGTGCACGGCCTGAAACTTGAATTTTAGTTCGAGCGGTTTTTGGCTTACGCAATGTAAATGAGAGTTGAAGATCTCATTAATAGGAAATCAACAGTAAAAAGACAGACAAAAACAGAGTCCGTATGTAGAAGTTATTAATTTTACGCAGACGTTTAAGGAGTATAATCTCCTTGTACTGTTAAATTTAAGATCGGTCGAGAATTAGTTGACTGTGTCAAAATGAAAGTTGTAGATCTTATTATTACCTACGCGTGGATATAAAGAACGTCAAAAACGGAGGTCGTATGTGAAAGTTACGGATTTTAGAAGTCGGAAGTGTGCTGTGCGAAAATGGGTGATGTGGCACAATCTTGGCCATTGCTTTCTCCCCAAGGCTTGCCACCAGATGGTGACATGTGGCACCAAGTTCAGCCACATTTCACCCTATAAATACCACCTCTCCCACCCTCATTTTCTTCACACCTTTCCCATTCTTTCTTCTCTTTACTCTCTCTCTCTCTCTCTCTAGAACCTCTCTCTAGCCCCGAAATCCCCGAAAAGCCTAGGGAACCTCCCTAGCACGAGGCGGAAGCCCGGAGTGCTCGAAGGCTCTGAGAAGAAGAGCTTTTCGGCTCGGGAACGCTGCTCCAAGCAAAGCCCGGTTTTCTATAAAACCCGCTGTAAGTGAGCTACGCCTACGCTATTTTAATATAACTTTTATTTAATTATAGTAACGTTATTAGGAACTTATAATAAATACTTGGGCTATTATTATGGGTTATATAAGTATTTTTTTGAGCGTTATATAATAATAATAATAATAGCTAGACTATTAATTAGTCTCGACGAATAATAAACTAAACTCTAGTGGTAATAATACTAGGTTTCGTCGAAGAAAAAATTCTTTTTAAGAAGCGAAGCGCTGTCTGAGTTCGGAATCACCACCTTTTCCGGTGAGTGCATAGTTACTTTCAGCTTACACATAGATATGAAGTATTTTATATAAATTACGTGCTATGTGTGCATATTATCTGAATACTTGCTATCTACATTAGATGAACGTTGTTATATATGTTTTCAATGATTTAAACTGTATATGTATTTTATATCTATGAAAATGTTGGGGTAAAACATGGGTAGATGTAATAGGTGATGTGTGATAAAATGATGAGAGGCCTCGATGTTGCTGTTGTTGATCTAGTCATCTAGCGGAGTATAGATGACGACCACGGACTCTTCTAGACAGTCCAGTGGAACACTAGCAGGCTCGCAACCTGTAGGTGTTGTGAACGATGTGTTCACCGGTGTACTCCATCCCCCACATGGTTGCCTATTAGGACATTTATTGCTGAGGAATCCCCTTAGCAGTAGTGTTCGTCCCGATGATGATCCTTAGCCTAGTTCCCTTATGATAGGTGTTTAGGGACGTAAAGTGAGGATAACGGGAATGGGTAATCGGGTTATTGTTGATTGATGAAATTAATAAACTTATTTATTGTGGGTTGAAAACCCTATGTGCTCACCAGGCTCCCAAGCCTGACCCACTCAGTTTTATGCATTACAGGTAGTGGCGCATGAGCATAGGTGTGATGTTTTGGACGAGGGATTACGGATATAGGCCTGTAGATATGAAATAATGTAGTAAGGCTTATATTGTACTGTTTATACTTTTGATCTGTACGAACATGACATCCCGAGTCTTTTAATGAAATACATTTCTATGGAAATGCTTTTGATAAATCTTTATCATATTATTGTTTTGGGACAAATTCCGCAACCCTTTTATTAAAAGATAACTCTGATTTTGAAATAAAGTATAAACAAAACCGGTCTTTTCTGGCTGTGATTTTGGGGATGTCACAATTTAA